CCCGTCCCCCCCTTCCGCTTCTCCCCAGCGGCGGCAGCGCAGGGCGACGGCGCGCTGATGGGGCTGGACATGCCGGCGGCGCCGTTCGAGCTGCGCACGTTCAAGTTCAAGGAGCTGCACAAGGCCACGCAGGGCTTTAAGGAGCCCGACAACGTGCTCGCCTTGTCTTGTCACACGCCTCATACACCTCCCTGTTCCCTCCCCTCCCCTTATCCGTCCCTTCTCTTCCCCCCTCCTTCCCCCGTCCCCTCCTCCTCCTCCTTCCCCCCCTCCCCCCGTCCGTCCCCCCCCCCCCCGCCCTCCCCCAGCGGCGGCGGCGCAGGGGGACAACGCGCTGATGGGGTTGGACATGCCGGCGGCGCCGTTCGAGCTGCGCACGTTCAAGTTCAAGGAGCTGCATAAGGCCACGCAGGGCTTTAAGGAGCCCGACAACGTGCTGGGCGAGGGCGGGTTCGGCAAGGTGTACAAGGGGTACCTCAAGGACTGGGAGGGCAGCAAGGACGCCATGCCCATCGCTGTGAAGAAGCTCAACCCGAACAGCTTCCAGGGCCAGCAGGAGTGGCTGGTGAGTGGGCGTGGTGGGGCACGGGTAGCAATGCGCACGCGGGGAAGCTAGTAGGTGCTGCGAAAGCCCGGACAAAAGATGTAGAACGAGATGATATCGGCCAAGGCGAATATCCTGCTATTGCTTCGTGGCCGTTGGAAAACCCTAATGTTAACAAAACCCCCCCAACCCCTGACTTGTTTGAACCCCCAGGCGGAAATTTTGCTGCTGGGTCGCGTGCGCCATCAGAACCTGGTGAAGCTTCTCGGATACTGCGCGGAGAACGGGGAGGGTATGCTGGTGTACGAGTTCCTCGGCAAGGGCAGTCTTGACTACCACCTCTTTCCGGGTAAGTGCTTTGTACTCGTTATGGACAGCTTCAAGAACCTCCACTTGGTCAGTCAGTTGGTACAATGTTATACGAGAGGAGTCACAGTGTTTGAGGGTATGCTGGTGCATGAGTTCCTGGGCAAGGGAAGCCTGGACTACCACCTCTTCCCGGGTGAGTGATTCTGTACTCGTTATTGACAGGTTTGACATCCACCACTTACCAGGTCAGTCAGTTGTTGATTGTGGTGAGAGTAAGCTCACAATCACGCTATCTACCTTTCGCCAGCCAGGTCATTGAGTAGTTAAGTTCCAATTTCTACCACTTTCCAAAGAGCCTACGCACTGCACCTCTTTCATGGGAGTTTTGTCACTCGTTTCTCTCTCCGCCCCTCTCCGCCCCTCTTCGCCCCTCTCCGCCCCTCTCCGCGCCTCAGAGCCCAAGGAGGACGACCCCACGCCCCCCCCCACACCTCTCCCATGGGAGGTGCGGCTGCGCATCGCGCTGAATGCTGCTGCTGGCCTGGCGTACCTGCATGAAGGGAGTAGGGCGTTCTGTCACTCTTACTGTCGGATCCCTTGCTCTCTCTTCCTTTCTCCTCACTTCTCCTTCTCCTCCCCTCTCATCCCCCCACACACCCCTCAGAGCCCAAGGAGGACGACCCCACGCCCCCCACGCCTCTCCCATGGGAGGTGCGGCTGCGCATTGCCCTGGATGCTGCTGCGGGCCTGGCGTATCTGCATGAGAACAACGTCATTCACCGCGACTTCAAGGCTCCTAATATCCTGCTCGATGATGTGAGTGCCGTGCTTACCAAAAAGGTTAAAACAGAGAACCAACACTGGAAACTTGTGCAGGCCTGGCGTACCTGCATGAGAACAACGTCATTCACCACGACTTCAAGGCTCCCAACATCCTGCTCGACGATGTGAGTGCTGCGCTTACTAAAGAAGTAAAGCAAAAAAATAGCACATTTTGAGATGTCTCAAAACACGCTTACTAAAGAAGTAAAGCAAAAAAAAGCACATTTTGAGACGTCTCAAAACACGCTTACTAAAGAAGTAAAGGCAAAAAATAGCACATTTTGAGACGTCTCAAAACACGTTACTAAAGAAGTAAAGGCAAAAAATAGCACATTTTGAGACGTCTCAAAACACGCTTACTAAAGAAGAAAAGCAAAAAAATAGCACAGGACAGTCGTGCAGACCTGGCGTACCTCCACGAGAACAACGTCATTCACCGCGACTTCAAGGCTCCCAACATTTTTGGGTGATGTAAGTATGGTGTTTATAAGAGAAGTAAAGTTCAGAAATTAAACAGGAAAGTCGTGCAGGTGCAGGCCTGGCCTGCTTACCTGCACGAGAACAACATCATTTACCACGACTTGAAAGCCCCCAACATCCTGCTCGACAATGTGTGTGCCGTGCTCACTCAAAATGGGTTGTACTTATCAAGCGCTTCCTGTACTCCTTTGGTTGTCTTCAAGCCGCCAATCAACCTCACATTCCCCATCAACACCCCCCCCCCCCACCCCCTGCGCCCCCTCCTCCCAGGACTTGTCTGCAAGGCTGACCTACTCTTGGTTGGCTAAGGGGCCAGACACGGGCCATACATGCGCACACCCTGCACTCACACCATCCCTCTCCCTCCCCCCCCACCCCCGCCTCTCCTTCCCCCCAGGACTGGTCCGCCAAGCTGACGGATTTCGGGCTGGCCAAGGGGGCAGACACGGATCAAACCCACGTGACAACGCGCATCATGGGAACCATGGGTTACCTCGACCCCAAGTACATGGAAACCGGCCAGCTCACCCGCAAATCCGACGTCTACGCCTTCGGAGTCATGCTCCTCGAGCTCCTCACAGGCAAGCGAGCCATGGACCAGACGCAGCAGGGCATGCCGCCGCTCACAGCCTGGGCGCAGCAGTATTTGAACCAGCGCAAGCCGGATATTGGTGCGTTGGTCGACCCGTGTTTGTTGGACCAGTTTACCACGAAGGCGGCGCAGCGCGCGGCGCACAAGCTGGCGATTTCGGCCAAGCATTGCATTGAGGAGGACCCGAATCTGCGGCCGCTGATGAGCGACATGGTGGAGACGCTTCGTCCCCTCGTGGCTGCGGCTCAGGAGCAGTCCGCCGCTGCTGCTGCCAGTGCTGGTGGGGGTGGGGAGTAGGGCGTGGTGAATTGATGACCTGAGGGGGTTGGAGGGGAGGGGGGAGGAGGCGGTTGCAGCAAGAGGGGTGCTGATGAGCGACATGGTGGAGTCGCTGCGCCCGCTGGTGGCTGCGGCTCAGGAGCAGTCGGCTGCTGCCGCCGCTAGTGCTGGGGGCGGTGGTGGGAAGTAACTGATTCTATGACCTGAAGAGGAGGGGGATGCAGGGGAAAGGAAGGGCGCTGATGAGCTACATGGTGGAGATGCTCCGTCCACTTGCTGCTGTGGCGTAGTCGGCTGCTGCTGCTGCTGCTGCTGCTGCTGCCGCTGGGGAGGGGTGGTCGGGGGTAAGATGCAAAGTAATGGGGTGTAGGAAGAGTGTTGTAGGAGAGGGGTGGAGATGTGTAACACGTTGGGAATGGCGTGCTTGCTGCTGGTTGCTGCGGCGTGGGAGCAGTCTGCTGCTGCTGTGGCGAGTGCTGGGAGAGGAGGGGGAGGGTGTGGAGTATGGTGGTGTGATTTGATGACTTGGAGAGGTGGGGGGGAAAGGAGGGGGAGGAGCGGAGGAAGAGGGATGGAGGAGGAGGGATGGCGAGGGGTGGAGATGAGTGGTGGTGGAGACGGTGGTTGCTCCGATGGTTGCTGTGGGCCAGGACCCAGGAGCAGCCGTTGACTTTTGAGTCGACTCAAAATTGGCCAGGAGCAGTAGGTTGCTGTGGCGGCGGTGGTTCAAGCTGGGAGGAGTGAACTGGCGGAGGAGTGAACTGGCTCAAAGACCACTGGGTTGGGGCTAGGGTGGGACTGCTGGGTATTTATGTATGCCTCACATGGACAGAGGAGCAATGCAGCGCGACCTGCTCTGTCAATCTGTAGGGTCTGGTTGGATGGTGTTGATGGTTGCAGTTGAAGCAGAAACAAGCTGAAATGTAGAGTGGGAGCTGGGCTTCTGGTTGTTAGCAGCAGTCAAGAGAAGCAGCAAAGAGCGACGAGGGAACACGTCTGTATGGGTGGCGTCAGGCTTGCTGGAACCACAGGTGCCAACCGCGACGCTGCAAACCGTGAAGCTGCACTGTGTGTTCATCACTGCGAGTCACTCAGAGTGTTCTGTTCTGTGCTCCTTGCTCAGCTGCTTTCTTGGTTTCCTTTGGCACTGCCAGTGCATGTTCCTTTGGCACTGCCAGTGCATGTTCCTTTGGCACTGCCAGTGCATGTTCCTTTGGCACGGCCAGTGCATGTTCCTTTGGCACTGCCAGTGCATGCTTGCATTAGCACTAGAGGGAGCAGGAGCTGTAGTCAGTGGGCAGTGAGCACATGGAGAGGCGGGGATGTGGGGAAGGCGTGGTGAAGGAGTAGATTCAAGCTGATGAAGAGAAGACTGACCTCAAGCACAAGGGATCAGCGTGGATCCTTTTAATCTGGTTTCTTAGTTGTTTTGTTTAGTGGATGCATGCATGCATGTAGACTGTAGGGAGGCACTGGTTCTGTAGTAATGGTACCAGTACGCTACTTATAATAATCATGTGTAGGGGGGGCTGTAAGTGCATGGCAGAATGGCGGGTTTGGTCGATGTGCATGCTTGCATGGTCTGGTTGGGATGGGATGTACTCTGCGGTGTGAGACTTTTGACCAGCTGTGCTGCTGCTAAACCAACTGAAAGATGGTTCCAGTTAACTACCGTAGGAGGTTTAGTGGTTGCAGGCAGGTCAAATGAAAATTACATTGAATATTGGAGTGACTGTCTCAGGGATGATGAGAAAAACAAAGCATGAGCAGTACAAGTACGGTACATGAATAGTCGGCTGATGGTAAACAGCTCGAAGCACTACAGCCGTGAGAGCAGCAGACACAACAACCCTGAATGGCTACTTCCAACTCTCGTCCTTGTTGTAACAAAAATACCAATAATGACGAAGCTGTGTTGACAAATGTAGCTCGCAATAATGAGTGATGTTCACAGCGACGCTTGTACCGATACAATCAGGCACTCTCCAAATCAACCGACACATAATCAGCCTTGAGGATGAGCTGTGAAAGATCCTGCACCTGCTTTCAGAACAGAAGGGCAGGGAAGCTTTGGTATTGTCAGATGGGCGGAACAGAAGCCAGGGGAGGGAGACTGTCGAGCAGGGGAAATTAGATGAGGAGAATGTAGGGTACCTCACTGGAGAGGGCGTTTGAGAAGAGTAGAGTTTGGCGGGTGGGTGGGAGGAGCGAGAGGATGGCGTGAATGGTGCGAGTGAACCCCATCTCCACCATGCGATCTAGGTCTTCCAATACAAACAGCTGCACACAGGTACGGTTAGTAGGTAAGAAGAAATGTGAGTATATGAACACATGAATGTTGGTTGGGAGGAGCGAGAGGATGGCGTGAATGGTGTGATTGAAGCCCATCTCCACCATGCGATCTAGGTCTTCCAATACAAACACCTGCTCACACACACAGCATGGTACGGATAGTAGGTAAGAAGAAATGTGAGTATATGAACACATGAATGTTGGTTGGAAGGAGCGGGAGGGTGGCGTGAATGGTGTGAGTGAAGCCCATCTCCACCATGCGATCTAAGTCCTCAATAACAAGCACCTGCACGCATGGTCAATGGTGGATGGCAGGTGGGAAGTAATGTGAGCATGAGAGCACATCCACAGTGGGTGGGGGGAGCGGGAGGATGGCGTGTATGGTGCGAGTGAAGCCCATCTCCACCATGCGATCTAGGTCTTCCAATACAAGCACCTGGGTGCATGGTCAGTGGTGGATAGTGGGTGGGAAGTAAGGTGAGTATGGTGTGTATAGTGTGAGTGAAGCCCATCTCCACCATCCGATCTAGGTCCTCGATAACAAGCACCTGGGCGCATGGCCAACGGCGGATGGCAGGAGGGAAGTAATGTGATAGTAGGAGGGAAGTAATGTGATAGTAGGAGGGAAGTAATGTGATAGTAGGAGGGAAGTAATGTGATAGTCGGAGGGAAGTAATGTGATAGTAGGAGGGAAGTAATGTGATAGTAGGAGGGAAGTAATGTGATAGTAGGAGGGAAGTAATGTGATAGTAGGAGGGAAGTAATGTGATAGTAGGAGGGAAGTAATGTGATAGTAGGAGGGAAGTAATGTGATAGTAGGAGGGAAGTAATGTGATAGTCGGAGGGAAGTAATGTGATAGTAGGAGGGAAGTAATGTGATAGTAGGAGGGAAGTAATGTGATAGTAGGAGGGAAGTAATGTGATAGTAGGAGGGAAGTAATGTGATAGTAGGAGGGAAGTAATGTGATGTGAGCTTGAGAGCACATCTACAATGGGTGGGAGGACCGGGAGGATGGCATGTATGGTGCGAGTAAACCCTTATCGACCATGCGGTACCATACCGACACGTGCTGTCACTCACCTTTGATCTCTGCATACCTTCAGCTGCTGCATTCTGTTCCGCATGCCATGAGTCTCCTGCAAGTGCTCCAACAACCGAGCAGGGGTCGCCACCAGCACTTGACACGGCGCCTGCTGCAACCGCCTCCCCTCCCCATCCATACTCATCCCCCCAACCACCATCTGCACCCCCACCCCTTGCCAACCCACTGCTTGCAGGCCCACGCCTCCCGCCCCCACCTTCTTCCCCTTTCCCCTTTCCACCCGCCTTAATCCGCCACCTCCTCTCCTCCCTCCACCTGCTCCTCTCCCTATCGCCCCTACTCCCACACCCCCTCCCTGCCCTTGCAAATTCCCCTGCGCCTGCTGTGACTGCAGCGGCTGAAGCAGCTGCAGCATATGCTGAGCCTGCCCCAGGGCCCTCTCTGCCCTCTCCCTATTGGCGCACACCAGCGACACCTCTACAGGGGTACCGGCACCAGCAAGCAGGCGAGTGGGAGAGTCGGAGAGGCTTGAAACGAGCTGGTCTAGACAGGGGATCTGCAGGGTAGTGCGGGAGAAACAGGGGAACAAAGGCAATAGGAGTAGTGACCACTCGCTGAGCCTGACCACTCGGTCCTCTCTCTGTTAGTGAATCTGGAAACGGAGCCCTGTCGCTGAGTCAAGACAGGGAATCTGCAGGAGAACACACGCTGGGCCTGCTGCAGAAACATCTCGGCCCTCTCTCTGTTAGCGCACACCAGCAACACCGCCGCTGGAGTGCCGGCACCTCTCTATCGCACAGCTTCAGACTCATACTAACATGTGGGCTCACCATATAGGCCATGGTCCTCCCTGTGCCTGAACTACTATGATATTGATAGCCTCATAGTCATATAACTAGACCCGCTACAATCTCTTTAGCCTCGCTATAATATTTATAGCCTCACTGTAACATGTGGGCTCACCATATAGGCCATGGTCCTCCCTGTGCCTGAACTAGCCTTGACCAAGAGATCAGCTCCTGGCGAAAGGGAGGCACAAGCAGGGAGAGACAGAGGAATAGAGAGTGGCAGAGTAGTGCATGGTGTGAGAGAAGGACGGAAGTACGAGAGTGCAGCCATTGTCATGAAGAAAAGGTGCAGATTCGTGAGGGACAAGGAACACGGGAATGGAAGTGGAATGGGCAACGCAACGGCAGCAGCACCAGCGTACCTGCGAGTATGTGGGGCATGACAGCAGCTTGCAGGGGAGTGCAGCGCTTAAAGCCCATGCTGCTGCTGATGGCTAAGAGCATGGTTGGGGAGAGCGGCAAGGAGTCAAAACCGCATGCCTCCACTCCCACTGAGCGGCTTTTGTTCTTCTCACGTCCACCACCAGTATAGCCACGCCCTGTGTTGTCAGCACCACTGCCATCACACTCTGATGTGCTGGCGTTGTGTTCTCTGCTGCCCCCAACAGGATCATCACGTGCCGCAGTGGCAGCACCAGCAGCAGCAGCAGCAGCAGCAGCACCAACAGCAGCGGAGGAAAAGTGCCCGCAGCTAGCAGCACCAGAGGCAGCAGCAATGCTCGTAGCACTAGGCATACCCATGTGCATGTGGATAGACATGGGCATGGGCATATGCATGTGCATGCTCATGGGCATATGCATGTGCATGCTCATGGGCATGGTCCTGTGCATGGACACACGGCTGGCAAAGGCAGATGCCGACACATCTCTTCTCCTCCACGCACGCCCCTTGATACTGCCACCACTGCCACCGCTGCCACTGCTGCCACCGCTGCCACCGCTGCCACCACTGCTGCTGCCGTTGCCAATCCTCGTGGTGCGGCTGCTACTGCCGCCATCTCTACTGCCATACCCACTGTCACCACCGTCCCCATCATCCCCATCATCCCCATCATCCCCATTAACTTCAGCGAAAGCCAACCACGGGATCCGCGAGACAGCCCTCCTGTCCTCCTCCTCTTCCTCCTCCTTTCGTTCACCTCCTCTTGCACTCAAAGCGCCAGCAGCACCACCACCAGCAGCACCACCACCAGCAGCACCACCACCAGCAGCAGCACCAGCACGAGCAGCACCTCCAGGCGGAGTCCCATACTCGTTATAAGCAGGCCCAGACGCCCTTTCTATCGGCCCGTCATCCTCGTTCCAAAGGTCCTCCACGTGTTTCAGCTTCACGTGCCGACCAATCACCTCCTCCGGTACTGCAGGCAGCACCAATGGCGCTCCCCTCCCTCCTCTCCCTCCGCCCCTGGTTGATCCTTGATATGCTCCCCTCTGCCCCCCTCCCCTGTCATTCCCTCCCCTTCCTCCCCCTCGCCCTCCGCCCACTCCCCATGCACCTTCCCTCCCCCTCCTCCCCCTTCCCCCCTCTGCTTCTGCTTCGGAAAATGCTGCTCGTGCCTGTGCCTGCCTGGCTTGGCGCGCTTCATAAGACGCGTTCGCTTCTCCTTCTCCTCCTCCCCCTCCTGCCCTCCCCGCTCCCATCCCATCTCCTCCCTTCCCACCTCTCCTCTCCCCTTCGCCCCTCCCTCCGCTTCCCCTCCCTCCGCCTTCCCTCCCTCCGCCTTCCCTCCCTCCGCCTTCCCTCCCTCCTCCCCTACCTCGCTCATGTAGCCCCCCCTCCTCCCACCACACCCAACCCTCTTCCCCTTCCTCTCCCGCTTCCCCGCCTTCCTCTGCCCACCCCTCCATTGCCCCCTCTTGCTTCACCCTTCCCCCTCTAACCCCATCACTACCGCCCCTTGCTGTTCCCCCTTGCCCTCTCCCCCTCTCCCCCCTTCCCCGTGGGCGCATTCCCCCCTCCGCCCCAGCCTCCGTATCCTCCTCCCACCACACGCGCCCCCCCTCCTCCCCCCGCTGCTGTTGGCGCATTCCCCCCGCCTCCCCTCTCCGCCACAGTTGGCGCAACTCCCCTTCCCCCTCGCGCATCTCCCCCTCCCTCTCCCGCTGCCACGGGCGCACATCCTCCCCCGCCTGTGGCGCAATGCGCCCCTGCTGCCCCCCCCTGTTGCGCTGGTCCTCCCCCAGGCGCTCCTCCTCCCAAGCGCGCTGCTTCCCCTCAACGCGATCTCCCCCCCACACGAGCTCCCCCTCCGCCTGCCGCCTCCGCTCCGCCAGTGGCACCTGCGGAAGCCGCTCCCAGCGGACTGCTCCCCCCTCCCGCTTTCCCCCCAGCCCTTCCGCCATGCCCCCCTGGTTCCGCCAATCACTCCCCCCCCGTTGCTCCTCCCGCGCGCCTCCCCAACCCGCTCCCCCTTCCGCCTTGCCCCCTTGCCTCTCCCAAGGAACTATCATTCCCCCCGTCCCCTCCTCCTCCCCCAAACCCTTCCAAAGCCCCCCGCCACCCTCCTCCTCCCCCCATCGGCGCGCAGCGCCATCTCCCCCGCGCGGCTTTTCCCACGGAAGCGGCGGCCCCGCGGATCGCGGCGGACAAGCCGGCGGCATCCGCCCTTCCCGCGGGGCTTTCCCCCATCCGCGGTCCGAGTCTTCCCCCCAGGGGCGCTCCGGGCCGCGCAAGATGCGGAGCTGCTCGCGCCGCTTCGCCTCGAACGCCTCTTGCTCGCGGATCAGTTGCGCGCGCTCCCGCGCGCGCCGTTTCTTCTCCTGCATGCGCTTCCACTGCCATTTGGTCACTCCGCCGGGGAACGTCCGCGGACCTCCCCCCGCCCAGATCTTGGGCGCAAGCGCGGGATGCGCGGGCGCATAAAGCGGGAGGGGGAAGCCCCTTGCGGGAATGGATATCCCCGGAAGCGCAATTTCTCCGATATCCCCGGATCCGCGACCGGGGGACGGGTCCCTGAGGAAAGGCGGAAGATGCGGGGCTTGGGGGGAGTGTTTCGGCAGAAGCGCGGGTGGCGCGGGGAGGCCGGGGAGGCGGATATCGAGGTCCCGGGCGGCGGAAGGCGCGAAAAGTTCGGGGAGGGGCAGGGGGTTGGGGGAGAGGAAGGCGGAAGCGGTGCTGGCAAGGGGTGAGAGGGCGGAGAAGGGGCGGGAGGAGAGGAGCGCGGTAAGTGATGGGGAGGGGGAGCCGGACAGCAGCGCCATTCGCAGGGGGAGCCTCAAGCGCATGTGAGGTGGAATGACCAACGGAAAGGCAATGATGATCACTAAGAATCTGGCGGGGCGAACAAAAAAAAAATGGTTGCCATCAGTATTGATAATTTGATGTAGTTTTTGCGAGTGTCGGTGGACACGGGGATGTAGCTCAGATGGTAGAGCGCTCGCTTAGCATGCGAGAGGTATGGGGATCGATACCCCACTTCTCCAGCCGTATTAACCAAGTCAGTCCTCTTTTTTAATGCCCCATTCCCGATTCCCTTGACAGCAACAGATTTCACTACACAAATGACAACAAGTAGTCACGGTAAACTAGTGGTGCACGTTGCTGAATTTCTTGTGGACTACACGATACACATCGCGTGGAGCGCGCTGAAATAAACTAGCCTCCGAATGTTAGTCCCTCTTGACGCGTCTAGAAGGTCATATTTCCACCTCTCGCTACGCGCTTGCCTCCCTCCTGCGCGTCGCCGACTTCTGCAGCAGTAGAGGGAGCGACGGGTCTCACTCAAGTCTGTAATCCCAGGTGTTTGAATAAGTGTTTTGAGACGTCTCTTAACACTTCTTCATACACGTAGAAAAAGCGACGGGTCTCACTCAAGACTGTAATCCAGGCCCGCGTCGCGTCGACTCGCAATGCTCGCTCCTCCGCCTGTTGCTGCCAATGGCGTCGCCTGCGCTGCCGGCGACACGTGGCAACGCGCGGCGGGTTTGGCGGCGGGAAATGCGGTGCAGCTGGCGGGGATGGACGAGAGCATGCAGGCGCTGCGCGAAGTGGTAGTGTGGCCGATTAAGTACGCCAAAGAGGCCGCCGCGCTGGGCCTGAAGGTTCGTGCTACTACGAACTCTACACCCGCTAAAGGAGTGAAAGTATAAATCTTACACCTTAAACCTTGAGGGGTTAAACCCCGAACCCGAGACCTCTGAGGTCATTCCGTTGTATTCACTCGGTCTGCAGACCACCCTCCTTCTCCACCCACCCACCCACTTTCCCTGTGCAGTGGCCTTCAGGTGTGCTGCAGTGCAGTACGGCCCTCCCACTCCGGCCCCTCCCTTTCTTTGAGGCGCCTTGAAACTACTCTCTCTCTCTCTCCAACCCCTCTCCGCACTTCCTCCCTGTGCAGTGGCCTTCAGGTGTTCTGCTGTACGGCCCACCAGGCACAGGCAAGGTGAGGCTGCTGTGTGACAGTATTTCAAAACTTTTCAATCCCTAGCTTGCACAGGCAAGGGTACCTTCTTGATTTTAATAGCTAGCAAGTGACTTGCTGATTTATGATCTTCGGTTCGGCCATCCCATCACATGTCCTCCCCCGTCCCATGTGTGCAATGTGATGGCACACCCGTGCAGACGCTACTGGTGAGGGAGATCGCGCGGGAGTGCAACGCACGGCTCTTCACTGTCACGTGAGTCAGCACACCACACCACACCACACCACACCACACCACACCACACCACACCTCACCACCCTGCTATGCATCCTCTCTCTCTCTCACCTTTTGCGCACCCCTCTCCCATCCCATGTGCGCTCGGGAGTGCAAGCAAAGCACAGCTCTTCACTGTCACTGTCACGTGAGAGAACAAACTGTAGCATATGTATGTAGGGGAGAGTGAGACATTGGCTGAGGCACTTTATATAAGCCCCGCTCCCCCCTCTTGTATGCATGCAGGTCGTCGTCTATCTTCGGAGCATACACTGGAGTCGACTTTTGAGTCGACTCAAAAGTCATACACTCAAGAGTCCAATAGGATATACTGTTCAACAGGCAAACCACGCGGGGGAGAGTGAGAGGCGGCTGAGGGACGTCTTTGATGCGGCCAGAGGGGGAAAGGGCGGGGAGGGGGGTGTGTGTCCATCACATCACAACACTTCTTCAAACACCCTCACTACACGTGTGCGTCCATCACACCACTGTGTACTCCCCCCTCTTGTATGCATGCAGGTCCATACGCACCCTCTCTGCCCCACACCCTGTGTACCCTGCACCCCATGCATGCAGGTCGTCATCCATCTTCGGAGCATACGCAGGGGAGAGTGAGAGGCGGCTGAGGGACCAGGCACCTCATAATGAACCCTTCTCCAACCCTCTCTACCCCACATCACCCCATACATCAGGTCCTCTTCCATCTTTGGAGCATACGCGGGGGAGAGTGAGAGGCGGCTGAGGGACGTCTTTGATGCGGCCAGAGGGGGAAAGGCGGTGGATGGGGGGCAGGGGTTGGGATTTACTGAGGGATTGGAGGAGAGAGGGGTGGAGGGAGGGGTGGAAGGTGGTTCGGAGGGAGGTGCTGCAGACGTGCGGCCGTCGATTGTGTTTATCGACGAGATCGACGTGCTGTGCCCCAAACGAGACTCCAGGTAGCGTACAAGGTAGTTCCAGAGGGAGGTGTGGGAGGTGGTTCAGAGGGGTTCACAGGTGTGCGGCCATCCATTGTGTTTATCGACGAGATTGACGTGCTGTGCCCCAAACGAGACTCCAGGTGATGTGGCTTACACAAGAAAGCAGGAGATCGTGGTTTGCCTGTTGAACAGTATATCCTATTGGACTCTTGAGTGTATGACTTTTGAGTCGACTCAAAAGTCGACTCCAGTGTGTGACTTTGAGTGTAAGTCTCTGATTGTGTGGGCAGGCGGCAAAACGAGACAAGGATAGTGTCGCAGCTTCTCACTCTCATGGACGGAATATCCACTTCCTCACTCCCCTCCTCCTCCTCTCCTCTCCAATCTTCCTCCTCCTCCTCCGGTTCCACCACTTCCCACCCCTCTCGACCACTAGTTGTCATCGCTGCCACCAACCGGTAAAGGAAACTCTTTTCTCTCTTCCCACCTCTTCCCACCGCATCCCACCTCTCCTCTATACCTATCTCCCCATTCCCTCTTCCATGCAACAAGACGAATGTGCCTCAACTGATTTTGCACGCCCAGTTTCATTATGAGGCTCCTTGACCATAGGCTCCTTGACCATAGGCTCCTTGACCATTTTTTGAGACGTCTCAGGAGGGCGGATAGTGCATGCCCAGTCTTAGAACTAATTTGGGGATCCGCCCAATCCAAATTAGTCTTAAGAGTGACCACTCTTCCTTCCTTCCCAATCCACCCTCCTCACCCGAAACCTCCTCCCTTCCACTGGTAGCCCCAACGCACTAGATGCCGCACTACGCCGGCCGGGGAGATTCGACCGCGAGATTGCGATCAACGTGCCAGGGACGAGGGAGAGAGAGGCGATTCTCAAGGTGAGCTGTGGTGTGGGGATGAAATGCGTGAAGGAGTGAAAAAGGGATTCCCAAGGGCGAGACACGTCACACAGTCATGAATTGGGAAGGAAAGGGGGATTTGTACTGTAAGATCTTGTCTGCAACATTTTGGCTAGAAGGAAAATCCAGCCTTATTCTCGTTGCTCTCTCCCCGTGTCCCTTGAGAATCCCCTAAGCGATCTCACGGCCAACCTGCTGCTGCTCACTTGTCTTCTCTGTCTCCCCTCTCCCCCCCCTCCTTCCTCCCCTTCTCCCTCCCCTCCTCCCTCCCTGCTTTTCCCCAGCTGCACGCGCGCTCCCTGCCCCTGCATGCTGACGTGGACATGCGCCAGCTGGCGGCACGCTGCAAGGGCTACGTGG